TATTTGACACGATTCAGATGCTTCGGACTTCGAAGGATTCTTGTGAGAGGATTTATAGTCTAGAAGAGAAGATGACTCTGGAAGGAGCATCAGTGTTTCTTCTGTTATTGCAGATGGTTTCTCTGACTTATCTTCAAGTGAAAGTGAGTCATAACATGAAGACAGTAGGAAAGATGACCGAAGTCCAATCAGAGTCCTACAACTTTTCCTTGTAACATTATGTAATTTAGCGTATAGATTTTGGGTTACAGGACTTTTCATCCCCGGACTTTTTGTCCCTGGATTTTTCCTCCCCAGACCCTTTGTCCCTGAGGACTTTTCATCCCTGGACTGTTTGTCCCCAAGGACTTTTTGTCCCCTAATGACAAGGAAACGTGCTACTATTGCTGACAGATGGATGGACAGACGGACAACAGAAGGATCACTATGATATTAGGGTCAGGGTTAGATTTAAAATGCAGTAAGAGGGCAAAGCATTATTGGGGATGGACAATCCAGGGATGAAAAGTTCATGAGGATGAAAAGTCCAGGGAGCAAAATTCCTAGGGGACTAAAATTCTGGGGACAAATAGTGCAGAGACGAAAAATTTAAGGACGAAAAGCCCGGGGATGAAGAGTCCTCGAGCCTAGTTTTTGCTGTACAGAGCTTTTTGTGAGGGCACCATACAAAGCAGCTAACTGGCTGAAACTGTCTTAGGAAGGAGGGGCCTAGTATGTATTTCACTCCTAGGAGGTAAAGGGTTAATTTTCACCAGCAACTGATCAAAATAATTCAGATGAGCAACAGAACAACACCAAGTACCAGGTCATTCACAAGTCCAACAAGGCTGGGTTTTCCCAGTTAGGAAATCCTTGGAAATACAGAATTTTGAACTTTTTTACACCAATCCTAAAAGTTGATTTCTGAAAGTCACATAAGTTTTTCATTTGCTCATGACTGGTGTATTAAAGATGTATTATAAACAAATAAATTTGTGTATTGATCACATGGTAGCAGAGTGCAACAACAGCTGCTGAACATCTCTGCCCTGTCAAGCCAGACGGCAGTATCTGCAAAATAGTGAAACTGAGAAACTTGGCCTTAAAGTTTTACCTCCTGCCCTACTTTTGTCGATACTGCTAACTTGCACATGCAATAACTCCGTACATGCGTATTGATCAGGCTAATCTCTACTAAAAATAGATGGAGCTGGTGCTGTAGAGGGTCAATGGTGAGTTTTCCCAATTTTGAGAAATTTGCAGATACTGCCATCTGGCTTGACAGGGCAGATCTGTCCTGTAGTGTGACATCGTTTATTAAAAATTGTGATTTCAACTTGCAGTCGAATGGATTCACTTCAAAGTTGTGAGCAGTAAACACCACTGAGCAAAAGGGCCACCAGACCAAAAGTAATAGATGCATGCAAATACCCGTTTCTCAATTATCTCAATTCATGGAATTATAACGATTATGTGACCAGCCCTCTGAGCAGATGTAATGCATCACACGTGTGCATATTCAAGCATATTTATGGCCATAACAGTTCACAGATTCAGCATTATATAGCAAAGTGTGTAACATAAGCAGCCCAAAGGCCTAATTTACACACTGAAATTTTTATGCATGTTGAAATCCATACCCCGATTGTGATTTACAATACGACCACAAGAGTGCAACATCGCGGGACTGTGAAGGAGTGCATTGCGCAAACTGACAGTGCAGCTTTGTCTCATGTCATTGGAGGCACGACCTTATGACCTCACATGACGTTAACCCTTTAAACAGTCTATTTTCTTCCAGCTATAGCACTTTGGCACTTTTTTTAAAGTGCACTTTAGCACTTTAAGGGTTAAAATCAAATAAAACATATTTTTTGTGTTAACTGTTTATTAATCATATCTGTGGCTACAATAGAGACCTCAGCAAGTGTATGAATAGTGTCTCTCTACCACAAGCGAATGGTGACTGAAATGTCTTTTGACCGGTAGCGGTCTTAGCATAAACCTATCAGGCCATGACTACAAGTTCAGTCATCAAGAAGTCAATAATCATTAAAAAGTCAATCATCTATCAATAAATCAATCTTCTGAACACAATTCACACTGAACATCTACTGGCACCTAATCTGGGGCAACAACCAGCAATAATATTCCAGAAAGTTCTTCACAGGAGATTAACACACAGAGAGACTCTTAGTCAGATAGCACCATTATCAACTTGAAATATCACCTCACATGCATAAAATGCTAAATCATAACTGACACCGGCGACACACAATGTGATCTAACCCAGGACTGAGTCACCACTGATGTACTCAGATACTTTAATATTTCAGAATACAGTAGTCGTCTGGGCTAAAATATTCTTCAAGAGCGTCCACCGAGAATTGGGGTAGTGCACTCCGTTTGAAAATAATTGTAGCAAGACATAATGCTCACCATCAAAGCAAACCTTGTTATGTGCTCTGACAAACTACCCCGACTCCAATATGGAAATTAGAGCTTGACATTCACTCAGCATTTCCCGCTCCGCTAAGTAAGAGCTAAACCGCATGAAATCTCCCGTGAAAACACTTCATATACATTTAGCGGCGCAAAAAAACACAGGCCATTTAAAAGCGTGGGAATGGGAATGAAGATGTGCGTCGGTTTCATACTTTGGCCATTATTCTCTCTGTGCTGATTGCTAAATAAAAGCCTATGATTAAAGGCTCTGGGCAGATTCGCATGTAGGCGGCACTGGCCTCCATTACGGCTCCACAGGCAGAGAGGTCGGCCAATAGGAGGCTCTTATCACCAAAGTCTGAATGAGCCAGAACCACTTTCATCTTCCTGCCCTAATGCAGGCCTCTCCTGCCGGGGTACTGACGTAGCGTAGACCCTGCTTATTGGAGCATGGGCGGTCGAACCCGGCACCAGCCTGGCGCAATGGCAGTGCTACACCCCACTCTAGGGTCTTACGCCATCATTTTACCCCCATACGAGGGGATAAAATGGATCAGCGGTCATTCCACGTCCACATCCGCCGCCGTGAATTTCTCGTTATCACTCGAGGTCACAGTGTTTCTCTGATTGTTTTTATATTTGGCGTGTACCTTCGATATGAAGGGAAGACAAAACCAAACAATTTTGGGAGAAAAATCTAATAATAATTACTAATTTAATGTTTTTTAAATTATATATTAACATATAAAAGGCTTTATATATTCATATATGGTAATACATTCACATGAAGATATTCCAGATACAAAGTTTGCTTGCTTGGAGTTCTGCATGTCAGTGTAGCTATTCAACTGTGATAAAAATATTCTCCTTTACGGCAGATACTTCTGCGGTCGTGAGCAACCAAACTTTATAATTTTCCATCCATCCATCCATCCATTCATCCATCCATCTATCATCCCACCTGTATATAACTGCTGAAGGTCGCAGGGGCACTGAAACATGACCCATCCTGCACTGGGCGAGAGGAAGGCACACATTGTACACACTGATAATACTTGGAAAATGTAAGCCAAGTCCAAAGATTTTTTCACTATTTGGAGGAAGTTGAGTTCTAAAAATGTCACTGTTATACAAATAACTGTAATTTTTATAATGCTGTACATTAGAAGAATTTAAACCATGTCTTTATTTCCCAAATAGTACATTTTCAGCCTTTATGGTAGTATTAAACAATGATTTTTCAATATGCAGTGGTTAACAGTCATGCTCAGAAAATCCTCTTTGGCAGATTTTGGTAATATTCTGAGGTCATTTATTAATGAAATGTGTGATTAACGTCGCTGTAACCGCAAGCTTGATGTTGATTCAGTGCAACAGTTTGCCACTTCCAGTTCAGTGCACTCCCTATGACTTGACTGGTCATGCCCACCCTCCACAGCTCACCACCTGTTTGGCTATACCGTCCTTACGTAACCATGCAACTACGGCCAGCTTCTCTACACTCTAAAACAGCCATTTATTAATGCACGAAAAACCACAGAAAATTAAGCACACGCGCCATCCAGTTTCATGAAGAGTAGAAAGTCCTCAACTACAGGTGAAATATTTATATTTTCAGTCAGTTTCCATTTTATACTGCAGGTGTAAATGCAAGATGAACTACTGCATCCAACCCAAAAACCTCACTGAAACGCCATAAACAAGCAGCATTGCACAAATAAGCCTCCTGAGTATCCGAGGTGAGGTCTAAATTAGGTTCACCTCTCTAATAAGGCAAACTGCAACATTAAAAGACACAAAAATAAAAGTAAATGCCTTTAACAATGTTTGTTTTGGAATAATCAGCCAGCTACTTAATTAAAACCAGTCTCTAGGGAAAAGTACAATTTGCACACTTGAATTAAGTTTATGGTCCGATTCCAATTCGAAACCAATGTTTTTGTATAAAGTTGTTAGTCTGTACAGCGAAGCGAGACCCCAGGACCAGCTGGCATTATAGAACTAAATCACTGCATGACATCATTTCGGCTGAAAGAGTCAAGATTTCTCTGAAGGATGAAACAACAGACAGACCCACTTGATGTCCTCTTCTTCCTGAAGGACCGAAATTTTCATAATACAGAGCAACTATTCCACTAGTCATTTCCAGCATCAAAAATTGTTCCAAGTTGCGGATGTTGCCTAAGGTTTTGTATATTCAGTGACTAGGACACCATTCTTGGACCAGATTTTATACATTCATGGACCAGTCCATTAGACAAGGCCCTCAAATGTTCCACTTCAGGTGCCAGGGTTGGCCAGGGTGGCTAATTTTCCTCTTATAAGACTAAATAAACTTCACTTAACCGAGTGGGGTGGGTAATTTGTCCTCTGCATTTGACCAATCCTAGTTCGTAAGGAGCAGTGGGCAGCCACAGTGCAGCACCTGGGGATCAACTCCAGTTCTAAAGCCAAGGCTTCGGAGAGGGGTACTGGCAGGAGAGTTCCTCTAGAACACATCTTTCAGGATGGGGGGAGGAGGAGGTGCAAACCCACATGTACACGGAGAAAACATCCTAGCTCCAAGCAGGGAGGTTCTGGCTGGCCAGGACTCGAACCCAGAACCTCATTACTGCAAGGCAGCAGCGCTAACCACTACACCACCACACTCCCCTGTGTTGACCTCTGATCAACAGGACACTGGGGGGGGTTGAGTCAGCAAAGCGCAACAAAGAGGCAGTTAAAAATTCAAATGGTGGCACTGGGACATACTCTAGAGCAGGGGTTCCCAAACTCGGTCCTGGGGCCTCCCTGTGTGTGCTGGTTTTTGCTCCACCTTGGTATGCAATCATTAGATTTTAACAAGCTGTTAATTTGTCTTAATTAGGTGCATTTTTTGTTCAGAGCAGCAATTTATCCTCTCTTGACAAACAGTATTTTGACAGATATGCATACAAACAGTGAGGAATAAATTCCGGATCCACATTGCAATATATGAGTAACAACTGCATAAAAAGAGGGTAAAATGTACCCAATCAAAGGAAAAAAATCAATGGGTTCCTAATTGGTGAAACTGTGGGTACTGTGTGAAAACTAACAATTTACTGAACAAGCAAATGACTGAGTCAAACCTGTTTTATGTTATGTTTTTGTGATTGAGTGCAAGCAAGTTATTTTGAAAGAAATCTAGCCACCTGTCTTCAGCAACCTAATTTGGAGGTTACTGATTTTCTCAGTACCTGATTTAATCTGTTTAAAAATGTTATTACCCAAAATTGCTTGCCACACAGAAAAAAAAAAAACTTTATATGCAAGGGCCTTTTATTCGGTCTTTTATTCTTCACGGCACAAATGGATATTTCTATTAAAATTTGGCTTAAAACAGCAAATAACATATTTAAACACAAAATGCACCTAATTAAGACAAATTAACAGCTTGTTAAAGTCCTATGATGGCAATTATGGTTGGGACAAAAACCAGCGTACACAGGGAGGCCCCAGGACCGGGTTTGGAAACCCCTGCTCTAGAGAGACCCATTAGACCGGGCAGAGACTGTGGGACACTGCGCGCCAGAGGAATTTCTTACATGGATTTCCATGTTTTTCTTTGGTTTTTAGCCAAAGGGTAATTCAACAGCATTCAATTCAACACTCCCTGGCGGTAATACATAATGGGAGAAAACATTTACTTCAACATTCTCAGGATGTGCCTGCCTGGGTCCCTGGTTATGCCATTAGGTGACTGTAACGGTCTGAGAGTCCGAAGCATCGAAACATGGCGGCTTCGCCAGCTAGCGTAGCAGAGCTCATGTCAGACAGGCCTAACACAGCTGCAGGAGCTGCTCCATCATACCACATAATAGCTCTCCGTTACGACAAACGCCTCTCCTTAGGGGAGTCCTGCAAAGTAGAAGTTTACTTTTACTTCCTAATTTTGTTGTTGTTGTTGTTATCATTGCTTCACTTCTCATGACGCCGTCTGTCTGCTAAAAAACTTTGAGTTGCTTCTCTGCATGACTGGAGCTATACAAATACAGATATTGAGATTATTAATTGGGCATTCACTAATGTCTCTTTGCGAGATAACACGCTAACCGCACTAACTGACCAGAAATATATCTTTCTCGATGTTGGAGAGCAGTGGTTCCCAATCCTCCCCTTAAGCTTCCTCTTCCAGATCCATGTATTTGATGTGTTCCGACACCAGCACTCAATACAACAAGCTTTCCACTGCAGTAGAACTCTTGAAATGTATTGGTTCTTCTGAGGATGTCATAGAAGAGGTCTGGGAAACAAAGAACAAGAAATAGAGCTAGGTACAGTCACTAACCAAAGGTTGAGATCACCCATTCGAGGGAAAGTGAACTCAACAAGTGTACACCAAAAAAAACAAAATCATACTGCATGATATAGAGTGATTCTCTCCAACACCACTTTCAAATTCAGCAGAGGACTCGGATTTCCGAGCGAATATTAAAAGACAAAATATAGCAGAAGGTCTCTCTCCATTACCATGCTGTAGTTAAATGATCAATAAACGCAGTTGGTTAACATTTAGCACACCTCAGATGGCTTTGTGCATTTTAATGGGCTGCCGAATTTCATTTCAAAACACATACCAGAACACACTAAAAGATTGTTGTTGATACCTGCTGGCCAAAAATCATAGAAAATTAAGGTACGACACGTACCTGAAAAGCAATCAATACTTGCCTAGGGTGTGCTAAGGTGCTATTCTTTTCGCACACAAAATTGTACCCCAACCCAGCAATACAAGATTAGTTAGATCCATCCGCTTGAGATAATGTTTTTTTCCCCAAAATAAAATATATCCAAAGGATATATTCTGATTCATTTTCTTCTGCAAAGGGCATAAACGTAGCTCCAGTGAGTCTTTTCATCTGAGAGCCCACTCACTGAAGAGAATTTTGCTGGTACTGAATTACAGGGTAAAAGCTAACGTGCTAATTGTTCAAATTAATGAATGAACACTATCAAAACAGAGACAATAGTACACAAACATTGCAGTCGATCAGATGGAAGTGTTTGAGTCCAATCAGCCAGTATGGCAGTGCTTTTTGGGTGTTTGAGAGGACTTATGCTTTTAAATGGGATTCTCTAAACCAGGCCTCGCAACTTGCAGCAGCATTACTGGGATAGTATGATATCAGCCCAGGGCGAGGACTCTTCAATATTCAGAACCCTGACTGATGAAAAGAGCGGTTGCAGTTTTCACTCCGCAGTTAAACAGCTAACTAAGTAAACCTGCTTTGTGATAAAGGTCTCTGGAGTTCGCTAGATAGCAGCACAGACTAACACCTGAAAACTTCAAATCTTAAACACAAACTGAGGCGAGAAATACCGTCTGAGTCTTACCCAGAGCTGTCATCCAGTAGTCCTGCTCCATGATACAGATTGCAGATTTAGTCGCATAACTGCGCCAAGTAACACATAAAAACATAGTAACTTTGAAAAATGGACAGACGTAAAAATACAGTACCAGTCAAAAGTTTGGACGCACTTTGCTAATGTCACAGCACTCCGTTTCTAGAGAAATTTAAACGGCTTAACTTCTCTGTATAATCTCAAAAGGAATCTGGTAAGAGGTAAATAGTCAGAAGTAAAAAGAGAATAATTTACTTGTTTGAATAGTGTCCAAAATTTTGGAATTGTCAAAGAAGCGACATTTAGCAAAGTAAAGAGACAAACAAGCTCCTTCCATTATCCAATGGCTGAATTAATGTCAAGCTGTTTCGGGTCTTATTGGGCAAAAAGGTCAATGAGAGGCAAACCGTAAGTGCAGCACATCGTTGGGAACTTAGATGGCCATGCTGCTGCAAACGCATTAAAGCCATATAGCTGCCCTGGTAAAAAAAAAAGAAAAAAATTACATGTGAGTATGCTCAGAAAATATAACAACAAATGCTGGTTAGTTTGATGGATTTAAGAATTAAATTTTTTTTTTTTTTTTTTTGCAAAACAAAGGGAGCTTATTTCTTCATTTAACATATATCGTAAAAAAAAAAAAAAAGTGGGTATGTCCAAACTTTTGACTGGTACTGCATGCTTCGAGCCTTGCACGGCATTTATCCAGCTAACAGTTTAATCCTGTGTTGATGAATGCCTCCGAGTTGATTTACCAAAGGGCTGTTGCCTGAATTTATTGGCTGGACTGCGACAGCAGAGCCAGCCCGACAAACATGAACTTCCTTGACTGACTGACTGAGTAGCTTGGTGATGGATTTAGCTCAATGCTAACACATAATGGGAATTCCCATTAAGGCGCTAACGGAAATTAGCATTACGATCGCTATATTATTAACAATCCTGCCATATACCAGGTTTTGATCTAGTCTTGTTTGTCTTCATCCATCTGATTCTCAGTACACCACATCCACTTTAAACACAAAGCCCACATTCTAGGATGGTAAAATTCTCGACTCAAGTTCGGACAGCGCAGCACACAGGATGTGCACCTGCTTCACGCTGCAGCAAAGGTGTGGGACTGACGGATCGGAAAATCAATGTCCAGACATGTTACGTCCACTCCAGAACTCAACCAGCTGATGTTTACACCTTTCCGGCCAAAGAACTATGTTTATTAGAAAATTTAACCTGACTGGCATCAGATTTTGGGGGGGATATTTAGTTCAAGAACCTGGGTTTTCCAGGCTACAGCGGAGGATGCTGCACAGACCAGGAATTGGGAATTCAGTTCCCAGAAAAAAATTTTCCTTCAGGGCAGATTGACCTTCCTCAAAGGCTCGGAGACAGTTTTGCTGATTTTTCTCATTTTTTAGCTGATCGGTGCAAAAATGACGAGCGTCACGCTGTATTTTTATTGCACGGCACGATCTAAAAATAGAGTCACAGCGATACGGTTTCACATCCAGCAGGGATATTGCCCTGGTGTGAAGATTCCGGGGTCACCTTTACAAAGTCATCACACTCAAATGCTGCGCTGCTGTCTTGATACACAGGAATTACAGATTTACATTGGTTTTATGAGCCCCCAAAATCAGCGTGCATACGGCCCAATACACTGGGAGGGCCATATATTCACAGAAGCAGCTAAAAGCTAATGCCAAAGAGGGAAAATGATAAAAACACCCAAGTTACACACTGAGTGTCTGTGTGTATAGGCCATAAATGCCCCAATATTCACAGTTTCTTATAAAGCTAAATGCATAAAAAATGTTAACTGTTAAATGCCAAAGATGAGTCCAAGATGGCTGGGATGGACTCATATGAACTACTCTATTGGAGTTGAATTAACACTGAAAATTAACGCTTCAATGCTGTAGCTCCCATCACCTCCACGGTAGGCTAGATACAATATCTAAAGCATGGCTACGCTGTCAGACCTGTAAAACTGCAGTATGGGAAAGTAGTTGGTTGGAACACCTGGAATTCCTGCGGTGAGAGCCAGTCTACATTAGTGTCAGACTGAATGACAGTTACCTGGGCCTCTGATTACAGCACCTTCAAAGCACTAGAACTGCGCTCACAGAAAATCCTTCGCCCCTAACTTTCAGACTAACCTCAGCTATCGGAGCCCTGCTGTGTGAAAGCCAACAAGCCTGTTCTGGATCAGAGGTGCTTCCCAGTGTTTGGTCTCTTAAAACGGCCAGTGCTTATCACACCAGCCTTTCAGTTCAAACTGCCACCAC